AGCAAACTGGAGTTTTCAGGCTTACAGAGGGCAAACCCCAAACCTGGCCACTTCCGTGTCCCCCCTTTCCACAGCAGTACCCAGCTGCAGAGACAAAGAGAAGAGGGTGGAAAGTACAAAAATTGCCCAGACCCACATGGGCCAAAATTGCAATAGTTATTCTCAGTTTGGATAAGGCTGCTGCTTAGAAGGTCCGGACCTCCCATCTACACATCCCTAGCAACGTAGGAGCAAAGGGCTCTGGGAAATTCACATCTCATGTATTAGTCCCTTGCTCCAGCTTTGCAGGTAACAGGAGTCACCAGCTGTGAACTGGATAGCAGCTTGGTGCGCTCTCCCTCCCTTTCCCACTTCCAGCTGAGTGTGAATAAGGAGGGAAAGGAATGTCAGTTTGTTTTGAGTAGTCAATGAAGAGTTCCCTATGTCCCTGCAGACATCACTGGTGCTCTGTCTCTTCCTCCCTAGGCACCACACGGTCCGCTCCAGGTGTCTCCCTTGCAACCCCTCATTCATTTGTTCAGAGTCACTCTTCCGGCTCTGCTCAGGACGTCTTGTGACATATGATGTCTGGACGGTCTAGAAGAATGTTCTCCAGAACTTCTCCAGCCCTATCCAACAACATTCTTGGCTGTGAACTTGGAGGCATCGACATCGACCTTTAAATGAATGGATCAAATTAATAAATTCTTATTTAAAAATTATTGTTTACATGTATTGAATGCCTATAAAGAGTAAAATTTGTGAGGAAAGAATAAAACCCATAATGGCCAGAAATTCATAGAAAAGGTTAAAGGAAAATGGGTTTTCTCTATTAGCTATTTCTTTATTATTATTATTTTTTTGCAGAACACTTCTTTATTACAGCAACACATAAAGCAAATATAACTTTAAATGTTTATGAGCACAACTGTACATTATTACGACTGCTGGTTTACTCAGTTTGCTCAAATTTGGAGAAATAGCTTATATGTAATTCTTGAAATTCACTGACCTTCTTTATAAAAATGTGGGATTGAAATGCATGCACACATTTTTAAGAGTATATAAATTTTCACTCTACTGACTTTATTCCCAATCTCGGCATTTTCACACATCCTTGGTGAGTTAACCAAACTCAAGGCCTTTTGTTACTAAGCGAACCGGCAAGGTTATGTGTGCCAGGGGCAACATCCTTAAAAGTTAATGAATAGTAACTGCTGGTCACCAATAGATTTTTGACCTAATTCCTTCTTCCTTGAGGGCAAACGAGCTTTCACCTGGGCATTCAGTCCAACCCCTAAAGACTGAGGATCCTTCAAACCCCTCCTTAGAAGTACTTCATTAAATAGCCATTTCCATTTTAATAGTAGGGTGAGGATTATACTCCTCAATCTGGAAGTATTCAGCCTTGAGGCATCGATTGTCTCAACTTTTAGAAGCATTTTGAGGTTCTCAGCAGCTCCACGTGATTCAGGTAAATATGTGCATCTCCCAAAGTAATTATGAAGTTAGCTGGCTTCAGGCCTGTGCTGTGTGAGACCGTGTAAATGAACAGGGCCTACACAGCTGATGATGAAGGGCTCACCCAGGCCCATGGCTCGAGACCTGTGGCAAACCTGGCAGGACAGCTCACCATTCACCGCATAGAACCGGCACAGGGCGTGGCGGGGAGGCAGGGCCAGAAGAGGAAGAGCCTTTGGATTCCAGCCACACAGGATGATTCTTCTGTCACCAGGGTTGGTTTGGATTGCGTCAGTCGCCTTCCGCAGTTGGTCTACTCCTTGACCCGAAGAACCTGAATTCTTATTTTTGTATTTGGCTCTAAAACACCTCTAATGAAAGCCTGACCTGGAGTTAGTTTTCTCCTTAGCATCGGGTTTATGGACCCGTGCAGTCACTGGTCTCCCAGGTGCATCCTCTAGCCTCCTTGAAAGCTGTCTTCACCTGGAGGACTTTAGAGGATGCACTGGAGGGAAGCCAGTCCAGAAATAGATGCAGAGGGCAGGGTTTCAAGACCTAGAACATCAGATGCCTGAGGTCTCCTTACCTCTGATAGTCTGTCCCTCTCTCCCAGGGAGAGCCAACAAACACTTTAACTCTGGGGCTTCAGGGAAAACTATACACACGGGAAAGTTCCCTCAAAGAACAGTGGACAATTGAAGACCAGCATTCAAGAGGAGAGCCTCAAGAGGTTCATTCTCAATGAGTGCCAAGAAAAGGGAATGGGGAAGAAGTGGGCTTCCAACACTCCACCTGAACCGCTGCTACAGGTTCAGCGACCTTTGAGGTCAGAGGGTACAATGACAGGGAGAAAACTAGCTCAGGTGTGTCTGAACAGCCTGTAAAATGGGTAACTGGATTCAGGGAAAGGAGAGCAATGGAGGCCATGAGAAACAACAGAAGAATGAATAAATGAGAGAGAAGCACTTTGGAAAACACATGCTATGTCAAATTTGGGACCAGATTGCAATTCTACTTAGTTGTACTATTACAATGACCAGGTCACATGCTATTTTGAAGAAGTCAAGGATTGAGACCAGTCCACCAGCCAGAGTCACAGAGCCTGCCCTCCACCCACTACATATCCAGGGAGCCATAAACTATTTATTGCTTTGCGACCTGCCTTTTTAGCTCATCATAACACCTCTGAAATTCTTCCTTGTTGTTGCATATATTAGTCATTAGTTTCTTTTTATGGTTGAGTACTATTTATTATATGAATATCCCACAATTTGCCCATACCCACATTTGTGTCCTTCTACTTTCCATCTCCACCCCAACCGTCCCCTTCCTTGTCTCCTTAATGCTCTATGCACCATCTCATTGTCATTCTTTTTTACTTTGCCTTTGTTATATCAAGTTTTCAGTATGGCAAAATGCAACTCATCGAATCTTGAAGGCATGAAAAATAGGGGAGTTAGCTATAATTTAGCTTTGGATAAAGGGAGTCCATGGGCCAGTTTTATAAAAACGCACAAAGAGGGGCACCTGGGTGGCTCAGTCAGTTAAGTGTTTGCCTTTGGCTAGGGTCATGATCCCAGGGCTCCCTGCTCAGGGGGGAGTCTGCTTCTTCCTCTCCCTCTGCCTACTGCTCCCCCTGCTTGTGCTCTCTCTCTCTGTCAAATAAATAAAATCTTTTTAAAAAAATGCACAGAGATGCAGGAAGGTAAAATAATAATTATTAGGATAGTCATGGCCCTAAGGGAGAGAATGATGTGCTGTCAGAAGGCAGAGCATTATCTTTGTGCTTTAGTGGGAAAGAAGGTACATTCAAGGAAAGGTGAGATTAAGGAATTTAGGTTCCCAATTTTGGCTGCTCCTTACATTCACCTGGGGAGCTTTAAAAATGGTATCAAACCTTATTAGAAATTGAGACTTATTTGACCTGGGATGGAGTTTGGCCTTGAGAGTTTTAAATTCTGCACAGATGATTCTAACAAACAGCCAGGAATAAGAATTGCCTAACACTGCAGATAAACCAGCTACAGACTGCCCCAAAATGGGCAGCTCCTTCACAGCAACATTGAAAATCAGGCCATTTATGCAATTTGCATACGTACGTACATACCTTGATAATGCCAGCACCACTCACTGGCTCTCAGCTTTAAACAAACTGAGTCATAAAGTCACTTCATCATGAGGGGGATCAACTGAATTAACAGTTGGCAATACTATTTGTAATCAAACATTAAATACAAATGTTAAACTACTGTATTTGATTGCTGATCATCTACTATGTTATTTTTATAGTCAAGAGAAACATTTCTAATATATTATCAAAAACAGCATTATAGTCCACTTTTAAAAAAAATTAGACCTACATTCTCTCATCTTAAAATGGGAGAGCTTGAGAAGATGGATTTGGTATACTTCCAGTATTAATATTCTAATAGATTAAATATAAAGAATCTTTTAAAAATCTGGATCTACTTTCAGTTGATAGAAGTCAAAGGCATGTATACAAAGAGTACTTTAAAAGTGGCAGTCATCATTAAAGTTAGCCATTATCTTCTGGGCAGGGAGATGCTCCTTAGTATTTAGAGACAGATAGTCTGGGTGCAATTCCCTGTTGCACCCTCAAAACCTGAGCACCTGAGCAAAGAAATTATTTGGTCTCCCTAATCTTCAGCTTCTTTTCTGGTATACTATGCATAATAATAACACTTCCTCAAAAGTTAATGGGAGATTTCAGGGCACCTGGGTGGCCTAGTCACTTGAGCATCCAACTCTTGGTTTCAGCTCAGGTCATGATCTCAGGGTCATGAGATCAAGCCCTGCATCAGGCTCCTTGATGAGTGAGGAGTCTGCTTGAGGATTCTCTCTCTCCTTCTCCCTCTGTCCCTCCCCCTGCTCACTCTCTCTCTCACAAATAAATAAATAAGTCTTTTAAAAAAAAAGATGTTAATGGGAGATTTATTTTTTTTTAAAGATTTTATTTATTTATTTGAGAGAGAGAGAATGAGAGACAGAGAGCATGAGAGGGAAGAGGTCAGAGGGAGAAGCAGACCCCCTGCTGAGCGGGGAGCCCGATGTGGGACTCGATCCCGGGACTCCAGGATCATGACCCGAGCCGAAGGCAGTCGCCCAACCAACTGAGCCACCCAGGCTCCCCTTAATGGGAGATTTAAATGAGTTAATGTTTGTACTGGGCTTAGCATAGTACCTGGTACACAATTGCTCAATAAGTCTATTATTGTGATTGTTCTTATTGTCATTGTCAATAACATCACTGAAGGGCATCATGTAAGCACAGGGTTTTAACTAGGACTTGATCATTTTTTAAATAAAAGACTCAATTAGAATGTCTTTTTCCAACACAATGGCAGGTCCCATAGTAACTGGAGAAGAGAGTTCAGAAATGTGTTTGAGACATTTCACAATGCAATAGCACTATGTAGCTAGATGTAGAGCAGAGTAGAGTAAGTAAGACAACAACTTTCAAAAGTGATTTTCCCTGGTCTTTCTTTCTTCACTTTTTCATAAACATTTTGCTGCACATGTGGAGGCACCTGGGATCAAACATGTGGTACCAGCAGCCTAGCAGCAAAGCCATAGAGATAGATACTCCAAGGCATCCTCCTCAGTCTCCCGCTTCAACCTCAGTTAGAATGGAGAGACAAGGTGGGTCAGATAGGTCCCTCCTGTGCCACACTTGAGCATCCCTTGATGATCTCAGCCGCATGTGCACCACTGCATGTGCAGGTCATGGATTACCCACCAGATACCTAAGGGCCAGATTTTACCATGCTCTATAGAAAGGTCACATTCATGGGCCATATACAATGGCTTTATGGCAACCTCCAGCCAATCAGTCAAAATTCCTCCTGAGCCCTCTCATGTTCAGTGTACTGGTAACCTGAATAAAAGAATAAAAAAAAAATCATCAGATGTGCCAATCATCATCAAAATGTGTGTCCACTTCTATATTCAAGGAGACTTATTGTAAACTGACCTTATGCAGCCAGAATGAAATGTAAAACCAACAAGTATAAAAATAATATTCGTACCGAAAAAAAAAAGGCAAAAACAAAAGCATCCCACAGGCAGAGGTGGTAGTGAGAGATGAGACATTAGGAGGTCAAAACTGACCTCAATTTAAATGAAACATCAATATATTCCACTGTGAGGAAAAGGAAAATGGTATTGGAGTATATTAAGAAGAATATCAAAAGTCAGGGGGAGAAAACCTTCTACCAAATTAACTAGTCATACCTCAGTAGAATACTATATTTGTTTTAGTTACTATTTTTTTTTTTTTGAAGAATGTGAGCATTTGAAAACTGGAGAGGACTCAAAGAAGAAGAAGAAATATCTAAAACTCTTTGATTTTTTTATTTGAGAAAGAGCCATAAAATCTATTGTAATTAAAAGGGAATGAGGAGGGGCGCCTGGGTGGTTCAGTTGGTTAAGCATCTGCCTTCAGCTCAGGTCATGATCCCAGGGTCCTGGGATTGAGCCCTGCATCGCATCAGGCTCCCTGCTCAGCAGGGGAGTCTGCTTCTCCCTCTCCTCTGCTCATGCTCTCTCTCTCTCTCACTCTCAAATAAATAAAATCTTTAAACGGGGGAGGATGAGGAATGACTTTATGACAGTCCTCAATAAAGGTAGGGGGGTGGGAATATGTATGCCTTGATATTGTACTTATATACAGAGGATTGAACAAGCAGCAGTATTTTAGGTTTTTAAAGGTGGTTGGTTGGCAGTTTTGGCAGAAAGGTATAAAAAGACTGCAAATGGCTGCTAAAATAGGCAATGCCCAGAGTGTAGACTTTTAGAGCAGGCTGCATTGGGTGTTGGTTTAGCTAGACAACCAAAGGGCAGAGCCTCTCTGGGTAAGAAGCTCTCCTTATATTCTATATTGCTTGTAACTCCAGACAGTTAACTGGGAATTTTGTTGGAGCTTGGACTACAAGCAATGCCTCAGGCGTTAAACTCTGGCACACTGAGCCTCCCTCTCTGTGATCAAGCACTCTCAATTGTCCTGGTTGCTAATGAAGCTTCTCATTATGCATAGGATTCTCCAGAGACTATCTCAACAGTAAATATCCTCCTCCCCACTCAATTAAAACACCATTTGTTTCCATCTTCATTTAATCTACTTTTTTCTTTCTTCTCACACTCCTCTGGATGGTCCTCACCCTCCTCCCTTTCTCCATGGCAGCGTCCTCTCCATAATTAGTTGGTACGTTTCCCCCTTGTTAAAAGATCTGACAGTGATCATGCCATTGTTCTATCTCCCATGAGGGGCTGCCCTTATGATCTCATCCTCCTCTGGGGGGGGATTTTTTTGACTTTTTATCAGTCATGATATCTTTCAGCTCACTGAGGTGGCTTAGCAGAAAGCCTAGAACTATGGAGATCCAGACTAATCTCCATCCTCTCTTTCACCAAGAGGAGAAGACAGTAACAGGATACTTCATGAAGAAATGATCCATATGAAGAGCTGAGATCACCCAGCAGTTAGAGCAGAGGAAAAAAAAAAGGAGGGAGGACAGAAGAAGCCAAAGATGTACTGGGGAAGCAGTGTTTTCTTTGTTTACCAAATCAGTTGGGACATTCTTTCACGAAAACAGGGACACTTACCATTGAAAGACCACCCTGAACAAAGGACTTGCATGCTTCAGCTGAGTCACTCTTGTTGCAATTAGGGCTTTGGGGATCTTCATCTCAAGTTGTTTACTTAATAGTGGGGCTTTTCCTTTGCATGAAAATTTCCTGGGGAATTTGTCTGAAATGTGGTTACTTGGGCTGTATCCCCAGCTATTTTTTAAAATTCAAGGATAATTAATACAATGTTATATTAGTTTCAAGTGTACAATATAATAATTCAACAATTCTATACATTTCTCAGTGCTCATCATGATAAGTCTACTCTTAATCTCCTTTGCCTATTTGACCCATCCCCCTACCCACCTCCCCTCTAGCAATCACCAGTTTATTCTCTATAGTTAAGAGTGTTTTTTTCCCTTTTTTCTTTGTTCATTTGTTTCTTAAATTCCACATATGAGTGAAATCTATAGTATTTGTCTTTCTCTGACTGATTTATTTCACTTAGCATTATATACTGTAGCTCCATCCATGTTGTTGCAAATGGCAAGATTTTATTCTTTTTATGGCTGAGTAATGTTCCATTGTATATAAATACCACATCTTCTTTGTCCATTCCTCTGTGGGTGGACACTTGCTTCCATAATTTGGCAATTGTAAATAATGCTGCAGTAAACATAAGGGTGCATGTATCTTTTCAAATTCGTGTTTTTCTTTGGGTAAATACCCAGAAGTAGAATTACTGGATCGTACTGGTAGTTCTATTTTTAATTTTTTGAGGAACCTCCATACCGTTTTGCACAGTGGCTGCACCAGCTTGCCTTCCCACCAACAGTACACGAGGGATCCTTGTTCTCCACATCCTCACTTGCCAACACTTACTTCTTGTGCTTTTTATTTTAACCATTCTGACAAGTGTGAGGGAATATCTCATTGTGGTTTTGATTTGCATTTCCCTGATGATGAGTGATGTTGAGCATCTTTTCATGTATCTATTGGCCATCTGTATGTGTTCTTTGGAAAAATGACTATTCATGTCCTCTGCCCATTTTTTTATCGTATTATTTGGCTTTTTGTTGATGAGTTGTATAAGTTCTTTATATATGTGGATATTAAGCCCCTTATTGGATACATCATTTGCAAAATCTTCTCCCATTTAGTAGACTCTCTTTTTGTTTTGTTGATTTCCTTCACTGCACAAAAACTTTTTATTTTTATGTAGTCCCAATAGTTTAAATTTTGCTTTTTTTCTTTTGCCAAATGAGACATCTAGAAAATGTTTCTACAACTGAAGTCAAAGAGGTCACTGCCTATGTTTTCTTCAAGGGATTTTATGGTTTCAGGTCTCACATTTAGGTCTTTAATCCATTTTGAGTTTATTTTTGTGTAGGGTATAAGAAAGCAGTACAGTTTCATTCTTTTGCATGTAGCTGTCCAATTTTCCCAACACCATATACTGAAGAGTCTGGTTTTTTTTTTTTCTCCCTGTATATTCTTGCCTCCTTTGTTATAGATTACTTGACCATAAAAGCATGAGTTTAGGGATGCCTGTGTGGCTCAGTTGGTTGAGCATCTGACTCTTGATCTCGGCATAGGTCTTGACCTCTGGGTCATGAGTTCAAGCCCTGCACTGGGCTCCACACTGGGCATGGAGCCTACTTTAAAAATAAATAAATAAAAACATGAGCCTATTTCTGGATTCTCTATTCTGTTCTATTGATCTATGTATCTATTTTTGTTCCAGTACCACATTGTTTTGGTTACTACAGCTTTGTAGTATATCTTGAAATCTGGGATTGCAATACCTCCAGTTTTGTTCTTTTTCAAGATTGCTTTGGCTATTCAGGGTATTTTATGTTTCCATACAAATTTTAGAATTATTTATTTTAGTTCTGTGAAAAATGTTGTTGATATTTTGATAGGGATTGCATTAAATCTGTATATTGATTTGGGTAGTATGGACATGTTAACAATAGTTATTCTCCTAATCCATGAGCATGGAACATTTTTCCATTTGTTTGTGTCATCCTCAAATTCTTTCATCAACATTTTATAGTTTTTGGAGTATAAGTATTTTGCCTCCTTGGGTAAGTTTATTCCTAGGTATTTTATCCTTTTTAGTGCAATTGTAAATAGAATTGTTTTCTTAATTTTTCTTTCTGCTACTTCATTATTAGTGTATAGAAATGCAACAGATTTCTGTATATTAATTTTGTATCCTCCAACTTTACTGAGTCCCAGTAGTTTTTTGATGGAGTCTTTAGGGTTTTCTATATACAGTAACATGTCATCTGCAAATAGTGAAAATTTTAATTCTTCCTGACCAATTTGGATGCCTTTTCTGTCTTTTTCTTGTCTGATTGCTGTGGCTAGGACTTCCAGTACTGTGTTGAATAAAAGTGGTAAGAGTGGACACCCTTGTCTTATTCCTCATCTTAGAGGAAACGTTCTGTTTTTCACCATTGAGTATGATGTTAGCTGTGAATTTTTCATATATTCCCCAGATATTTTTAACAAGCACACCAATGACTATGATGCTGGGGTTGGGAGCTTTCTCTGCTGATGTTAATTTGAACATCCAGGAACTCTCCTGGTTGATGCTTCCTTCTCTATTTTAGATGTGAGCAGAAGAGGCTGAAAGAGGAGAGTGAAATCATCCATTAAAGTATATGTGATATGTGATGAAGCTGGTATTGAAATTTTGAACTGCTTTATGGGGCGCCTGTTTGGCTAGCTAAGTCAGTAGAGCATGTGACTTTTGATCTCAGGGTTGTGAGTTCAAGCCCCATGTTGGGTGTAGAGCTTACTTTAAAAATAATAATAAATAAATGAAAATATCAAATCTTGGACTGCTTTTCCTAAAGCCATGCTTTTATTTCTTCAGCACAGACCCAGGACAGCATTTGTTTGGAAATATGATTAGGACTGGACATCAGTAAAAGTCAGTTATTCCTGATAACTGTTATTTATCCATTCCACAAATATTTACTGAATGTTTTATGTGGCAGTTTCTTGTGGAGGCACTGGGGATATGGGGTGAACAAGGCAGACACAGGGCCTGCTCTCAGGAAGAG